TTGCATCTTCAAGCCAACAAATTATTTGGAGCTATACCATCTGGTTGGACACAATGCAAGCAGCTCAAAGAGTTAACATTAGAACTCAACTTATTCACAGGTATGCACTGCCCACATGCCAAATCTCTAAATTCAATCTTACCAAATATATTTGATTGCACTTTTATGTATTGGACATTGGTGTTGATCAAAACCATTCAACAACTTGGACTTCCTTAATTTTCATTTAAACAAAAAATCCTTATCAACAAATAAGTTTTATATTTATAAATATAAACAACAACTCAGGGGGCCCATGTCATCAAACATATTTTGGAAAGAAATATAAGGTAAAATAAAAATTGGGTATTATTTTTATTAAATATAAATCTTCTTTTTCTTTATAATGGCTTTGTCGGGCTTCACAACCTAGCACCTCGTTTTCATGTTCCCCTCTCCCTCATATATATATATTTATTATATGAGAAAGTAAGACCCTATTGGATCGACTTCAACATACTAACGTTGTTCTTCAGAGTTTGGTATTTTATATGCATTAATGTTTCTAAAATTGCAATCAAACTCTAATATGCCAAATAAAGGTCAAGCATCCAGATCCCAAAACTATAGTTTAGTAATTGACTATAGTTTTGATAATGGGAGGGAACATGTTAGCGATTTGTTATTCTTTCTGCCTTATTGCATCTGGGTCATCATTTAGAGTTTGAAAAGTATCTCAATTGTAGGTAAGTTTTGACAGTTCGATAGATTATATATAATTGCTGCTATTAATTTTTCAATTTTTATTTTCATTTTACTCTTTGGTACAAAATATTTTCTTTATTTTGTGAAGACAACTTTTAGAAGAATATTTTGATTTTTTGTCTTTACACAAATTTCTTATATTTTAAGGGAGTGTATCCGGGGAAAAGTTTCAAGTGCATCTATATTTTTTTTTTCGGCTATTTGTTTAAGATTAAAAAATAAGTAATTTTTAGATAGTTTAATATTTATAAAAATGGATTTATCTTTAAAAGATTTTATAAAAATAATTTATTCTTTTATTACAATAATAAAAATGATAGTTATTATCTGTTTTAGATTTTATTATATCTTTATGGATCTATATTTGTAAAAAATTTGTCGTTTAGTTTTTTTAAAATTTTATAATATCTCCATGTATGTCCACATTTTTATGTCATTCAGTCTCAACTATTGGATCATATCATTTTAAGAAGCTATTCAAAGTAACCTTTCAAAATAATTAGAAATATACTTTTTTTTTCAGATTGTAATTATTTTAAAAATTTCAAATAAACATAATAAAATTTCACAAAATAGATTATTGTCAAAAAATAAGTTATTTTTATGAAAGAAAAGTTTAAGAGCCCATTTGTCTCATTTTTTTTAATGAAAAAATAAACTTATTTTCTGCAAAAAGAGAGTCTATTTTGTAACTTTTTCTGATATTGTTTAAAATTTTAAAAGTAATTAGATATGAAAAAATCAGAGTTATGATTATTTCAAGAAGAACCATTTTGAATATCATCTGAAAATAATCTGTTATTGTAGAAGAGAGAGAAGTTTTAACAACGCAGGATATGCAAAGATATCATAAAATTTTAAAACAATTAATAATAAATTATTTTTATAAAAAATCATAAAATTTAAAAACTAATAATCACTATTTTATTATTATAACCAAATAAAAAATATAATTTTGCTTTTTATAAATCTCTAAACTATCTAAAAATCACTTATATTTAATCTTAAAGAAATGGCCCTAATAAATTGACCTTTTATAAAATCTCTAAACTATTTAAAAATCTTTTTTAATCTTAAACAAATGGGACCCAAATAAATTGGCATTTAATGTTATTTTGTTTGCAAAACAGCTCCATATCTTCTAAATAAAATGGGTTCAACGAAGTGATAACTAAGTGGTTGGGGTTGTTGTAATTTAAAAAATGGGAGGTTCAAATCTCAACTCTTGTGTGTATAGCAATTTAATTATGAGAGGTTTGCTTTTTATTCTCAGTACCTTCGGAGAGATAGTCTTGCCATTGGCGAAGCCTTCTCTTTTGAGTTATAAAAATTAAAAAAAGAAATAAAGAGAGAGAAAGAGTGGAGGAGAGACACTTTATTTTTTTATTTTTATGTAAATGAAATTCATTTTATAACTAATCAATTATATTATATTATATTCATAAAAAAAAAAAAATAAATGGCCTTTCAAAAACTTGTTTTAAGAAAAATAAGAAATTAAATAAGCAAAAGCTCAATACCCTATGCGTTTTACTACCCACTTCAAGTGATTTTTATATGCATCATTTTAAATAAATATATTAAGTTTTTTAGTTTCATTTTCATTTTTTCATTTGTGTTATTTACTCTATTGTTGGAGATATTCCTAAAAAAATCTGCCGAGATCATGGAAATTTTAAAATTATGATCTTAGATACTAAAAATTGTGATGCATGTTAAGTTGTCCTAGGGTGAGCTCCATGCTTGTTAGATTTATCACATATTAAGTATGCTCAAGGATAGTATACTTTACCAAATAGTTTAAGCCATTGGTTAAATACTTCCTCAGCTTTATATATCGTGATCTATTTTCTAATCTTTAAATGTGAGATTTCTTTTTACACTTTAATATTCTCTCTACTTTTTTTTCTTTTTTTTTTCTTGCTTGGGCTTGTACTTTCTTTAGTCTTAGAGGCCTAAGGTCTATTCAATTTCTTCTCCTTTTCTTCTTTTCTCTCTTTTTTTTCTTTTTTTTTTAAATATCTTGTATGTTTTTTTCATCTTTCATTTCTTTCACTTCTTTTCCTTTTTTTTCCCTTCATTTTTTTCCCCAATCAAATGGCTCATGCCTCCCGAGATCATGGATTTTATTATGATCTTAGATACAAATTGTGAGCCATGTTAAGTTCCGTGATCCTGCTTGTTAATTTATCATATAAGTATGCTCAAGAATAGTATACTCTACCAAAATAACTTAAGCCATTTGGTTAAATACTTCCTAAGCTTTATATATCATGAATTATTTTTAATCTTTAGATGTGAGACTTTTTTTTACATTATAACAATGCTGTGATCTTTCCCACTTCCACATCTACATTAAACACTTGATTAGTTTAGCTAACAACTAGTTCTTATTGTCACACAATGTACCTCATCGTCATCATGGAGTATTACTTTTGACACCATATGCCATATCGTAACAGAACATTTGGCTGTTGGAGTTGGCCGAGACAAAAAGCCCAATGAGAATTATTTTTCTAAAAATTATTTGTATATTCTAGAATCATTCCATTAGTTGAAATATGATAAAATTGGTCTAAAATTGGAGTCTTTGGATTTCTAACAAGGTTAACAATGTAATAACCTATTTTAAAGTAAGTCAAAAGGTTGGAAATATTTTATATAGGAATATGTGGAAGTATGTTATTATTATTGCACTACAGGCTATCATAATAAATTTATATTTGTGAGTAAAAAGCTTTTTCAAACAATGTCTTTTGCATTGGATTAATTCTTCAACTGTTATGTTGTTGATAACTAGTGGTAACTAGAATATGTTACAAGTAGCTATTTACTTTAGAAAGCCAGCTTTACCAGGGGGAGATCTAAGAAAGAGCAATCATGCAGTAACGATGTTGAATGCAATATCAATCAAAGTTCGAGCGTGCTTAAAAATAATTAGACAATCTGTGTTTTAACTAATGTGTCCCTTATATCTATAAATGTCAATCTTCTTTCAGGCCATATACCCAAAAGCATCAGGAATTTGACTATGCTTCAATTGCTAAATCTGTATTCCAATAACTTGGAAGGTATTCATCCAACAACTCATAGCATTGTCATGTTTATTTTATCTGTTGCTAAATTACAAGAAATATTCCTAATAAAATTGGTGATCTTACAAACCTAAAATTCTTAGATATGTTTTAACAATTTAATAAATTATATATAATTCCATTTTTTTATTTTTTACTTGTTTGTTGCCACATTGCAAAGATATTTCATGACAGATTGTGATAGTTGAAATTGAAAATTTAAACTTATTAAATATAATAAGTTTTCTCAATCTTAACCATTAAATGGTGCAGTGGATGCACATTTGAGACAACAAAATCTTGAGAATATGATTGAATTAATTTTTATATTTAGATTAAAATGTTCAACTTTTTGAATGATACGAATAAATAAAAATTCTTTATCATTGTTTCTAACGAATTATTTTTAAAAAATTGAATTATATTTATAAAATTAATTTAAAGGATATATGTAAAAGATAAATATCCACCTTGTTAATATATATGAACAGAAAGGCAAAATCTAGTTAAAAAAAAAAAAACCTCTGCAAGCTAACATATAAAGGATTATCAACAATCATACATCTCATTAATTTGACATTTGTCTTATCCACTATTTTTAGTATTCACTTTAGATAACTTTACTAAAACTAATCTTTTTTTAATATAGGTTTAATACCTATGGAAATAGGCAATCTTCATAAGCTTGAATTCTTAGAATTGTCATCTAACAAGTTGAGCGGTTCTATACCATTGACCTTTTAACATTTCAACTTTGAAATTCTTAAACCTTGAAAGCAATTTTATATCTGGCAATCTTCCATCAAAATTTGGGAATCTCACTAGTTTCTTTGAACTATCCTTGGGAGAAAACATATTGAGAGGATCAATTCCAAAAGCAATTGGTAGCCTTATTAGATCTTCAATATTTGAATCTTGAAGGCAATGAGCTACATGGCCTAATCATTGATGAGATTTGTGATATCACAAAGCTTGCCTATTTATCTTTAAGTAGAAACAAGTTTTCTGGAGGAATACCCCCTTGTTTAGCAAATGTTACCTCTTTACGAGACCTTTACTTAGACTCTAATAAGTTAACTTTCAAAAATACCTCCTTCATTTTGGAATTTGAAGGATATATTGAGAGTAAACTTATCTTCCAATATTTTAGGTGGAAATGTATCATTGAAGATTGGAAACTTGAATGCTCTTGTGTTACTAGATTTGTCAAGAAATCATATTTCAGGCATTATTCCAGCAACTTTGGGTGGCTTGAAGAATTTGCAAGATCTTTCCCTAGCACATAACAATTTGCAAGGAAATATTCCTAAATCATTCGGAAATATGTTGAGCTTAATAAAATTGGACCTTTCTGATAATAATTTGTCTGGGAAGATTCCTAAATCTTCTGGAGTTACTTATTTATCTTAAGTATGTTAATCTCTCCTATAACAAACTCCAAGGAGAGATTCCAAGTAGAGGAGTTTTTAAAAATTTGACTCCTGAATCTTTTATGATGAATCAAGCTCTTTGTGGCAAGCCGCAACTCCAAGTGCCTCCCTGCAAAAAAGAAACAAGAAAAGGATCAATGACAATATTGCTTTTATTGAGATGCATATTACCCATAGTTGTATCAATAATTTTGGTTGTCTTAGGCATTATGCTTTTAAGACATAAACAACAAAAAATTCAAGGGGTCTAGTTGAAAGGGAACTATCAACTTTAGGAGTGCCGAGAAGAATTTCTTATTTTGAAATCCAAGAAGCAACCAATAGATTTGATGAGAGTAGCATACTTGGAAGGGTAGTTATGGTTCTGTGTTTAAAGGAAAGCTTTCCAATGGAATGATCGTTGCAGTTAAGATCTTCAATTGTGATTCACAAGTAATGTTAAGGAGCTTTGAAAAGGAATGTGACATATTATGTAATGCACGCCATCGCAATATGGTGAAGGTTATAAGCTGTTGTTCGAATGTTGATTTCAAATCTTTGGTAATGGAGTTCATGCCCAATGGGAGTCTGGAAAGATGGTTATATTCTTACAACTATTTTTTAGATTTTCTTCAAAGGTTGAATATAATGATAAATGTTGCAACTGCTTTAGAATATCTCCATCATGGCTTGTTAACACCAATTGTTCATTGTGATTTAAAGCCAAGCAACATTTTATTGGATGATGAAATGGTTGCTCATGTGAGTGACTTTGGAATTTCTAAACTTTTAGATAAAGAGGAATCTAAGATATTAACAGAGACAATACCTACTATTGGCTATGTGGCACCTGGTAATTATTCTAAGCATAGTGTCTCACTTTCTTCTTCTTCTTTTACATTCTAACAATATATATCTTTAACATATTATATTCATAAAAGCTTATTATATTTATTGTTAGTAATTATTTAGATTAACAATATTATATAAAATTAATGCATGAACAATTAATTAATATTTTTGGTAAATACTACATGACTTCTTAAAACACATCAATGATATTGATTTGATTTGATTATTAAATGTGTCTTTTAATTGATGAACTACAATTTATCAAAGTTATCGATGCCATCAAACTTGGTCCCTTAGAAATGTTCTTGGATATTTCCTTCTCACTTGTTCATGAGATAGGGACTTGTATTCAAATAGAAAATGGAAGAGCTATTTTATGAGTTTTGCAGTCCTTGAACTTAGCTTAATTTGATCTTTTTATATGTACATAAAATTCTCAAGCTAATTAATATTATAACTTTAAGATGAATGTGTACTTTAAAATGTGCACACATGTATTCTATGATATGGGGGCAAGTGTGTGTGTGTATCTTTGTTTCTTCCACATAAAAATTCATTTGCATATGATCATAACATTTTCCTATCAATGTTAGGGGTTAATAAAATATACATTTAAAAAATTCAAAGACTATGACTAGGCAACACAACATAACCTATTTCTAAATTCTTATTTAGTCATTAGTTATATTTTATTACATGAATTCAATTATATGCAGAGTATGGATCTTCTGGAGTTGTTTCAACAAAAATAGATCTGTATAGCTATGGAATCATGCTATTAGAGGTGTTTACAAGAAAAAGGCCAACAGAAGATATGTTTGTGTCAGGATTGAGGTTGAAGAGTTGGGTAAGTGAGTCAATGCCTCATGCAACAATTCAAGTCATGGATTCCAATTTATTGCAAGGAGATGAACATCATATAAAATATATTGACATCTACATCCTCTATTCTTGAATTGGCCTTGAATTGTTGCACTGATCTTCCAAAAGCACGTGGCAATATGATTGATGTTGTAGTATCATTGAACAAGATCAAAGGGATGTTTTTGCATAGGCAACATCATCACGTTTAGATTATCATTGATTTTCTTACAATTTGTGGGGTTAATTGTTCTCCCTTTTTTCATTTTATACTTTCAGAATATGTTAGACTTATTGTTTATATATATATGCATTTATTTTTATCCAAACATAAAAGTATAAAGCACTCAACTACTTTACCTCAGTCTTTTCTCCTTTCTATAAACATTCTATATAGTCTCTCAAATTTCTTCTTCCCTCAACTTTTTTTGTCACGCCTTGAAATCTAGGGTGTAACACTTGCCCCAGGTGTTATCTAGAAATACACCACAATTAAGTAACAAAGTGTCATTAAGGAAATTTATCCAAAAACTAATTTATAAGGCAAACTATTTTAATCACTAAACAAATACACCATAGCAAAATACATATTTAAAACCTTTTAGAAAAGTCTAAAGGTTCTACATATAATGCATAGAAGCATGCCAAGCGAAACCAGGATAAAAAGTTGCTATCATAATAGCATAAATTTTCCTAACATGATAGCCCTTTTAGGCAAATTTTTAAGAGGCACCGTTTCGCTATCCAATCTTTGATCAAAGTGCTTCAAAATCCCACATGTCACTTTTAATGTATATTACTTGTGCACCAAATTTCAAAAAAATCTAACAGTCATATTAAAACTTATGCACATTGCAACTTCAACAACTATCATTGTCATGACATCATTAAATTACTATCACTACAGCACCTTCGAACTAAATTTTGAAGTGCATCATTTCTCTGTTTGATATCCGATTGAGGTGATTTTAAAGCTCAAATGAATCTTATAAAAATTTTTACTTGTAACTCAAATTTTAGGAAAATCAACTGTTAGCTTGAAATTTTGTAATAACCCTGACTAAATTTAAATAAATAAATAAATATATAAGTTAACTTGCTAAAGTGTGTTTATATTAGTTCTTGGGATAAATATTACAAGTTAAAGACTTGGTCTAGTGGCAGCTGAACAAGTCTTCATACATCAGGTCCCTAGTTCGAACCCAGAAGAGTACAAAAGAAGAGTTAAATTTTTTTCTTTTTCTGGTCGTGCAAAATTACCAAATTGCCTTTAGTTCCATCAGACTTTTTCTTAAACTCTTTCTTCTTCTTTCTTGATGAATCTAAAGCAGAGAGAGAGAGAGATCTGAGGAGCACCGATATTCTGCTCTACCTTTCAACCAAATCTACCTTGTTCCTCCTCCACCGAAGCTAGCACCATCATTCATGTGGTCGCTGTCAATATTGTGCTTATCCGTTCGCTTTAGCTGTGATTTTATTCACGAGTTGCTGCTGTTCGTTCGCCTCTGTTGCTGATTCAAGCATGACAAATCTCTCTTTCTCTTAGCTTCCTATTCGCGTGCATATAAATGATCTGGGTGAGCTAAGATCTCTTCCTTTTGGGTTCGTTTTCTGATTACTGGTGAGCTTATTTTTTTTCATTCATGGCGGCAGTTCTTCCTCACTGTTCAGGGTCATTTTCCTTCCTCTGTCCGTGCGTGTGAGTGGTTGAAATGGTATTAAGGTAATTATAAATCTTTGGTTGCTATTGCTGTGCGTGAGGCTGCCGTTGCTTTGTGTGTGCATAAAATTTCAGGGATTGTGGTTGCTCTATCATTGCTGTACTGTTTTAGGGAACGGACAACTCAATATTGAGTTGGAAATTGATCTCAAAGCTTAATCATGATATATATTCATGGCTAAAATTATAGAGTTCTTTGAAAGAATTTTGTTGCTGTCCGTACGTTGCAAGAAGAAGGTTTAAATTTGAGCTGAAAATTTGACTTTAAGGCTTGGTAGTGATATAGATATGGGTCATAATTTTGGAGTTAAATTAATTCTATTTGACATGGCTGATGCAAAGAAGTTATTGAGGTGAAATTGAAAGAGAATGGCTTAGATATACAACTTGAATATTGGTGCTTTAAGATGTTTGTTGAAAGACTTGTAAGAGAAATTGAACTTGACTTTTGAATATTTATAGAAATTATTAATTTAGAAATTAACTTGTAGGTTTGTAAAGGAATTTGATTATGAGATTGCACGTAGTTATTGGAGCACTTGGAACTTGTTTGGTTATTGGTGAATTTGTTGAATGTTTTAAATTGAAAAGGTAGAAGCAATGCACCTAAAGTATTTGGTGTAGAGATTGGGAGAAAACTTCCATTCCAAGAAAATAGAATGGCATGGCTAAAGTTTTATGGAGAAAGTAAGAGGAACGAATGATATGCTTGAATTAACTTTAAATCATAAATTTGTTTTTAATTTTTGATGGTGATTAGTAAAGGGTGTGTTATAAATTAAAAAGTTATTAAAATTGTATATATTCATATTTTTTAGGGTGTGTGGAAGAACAAGACCCTAATAAGACTTAAAAGAAGAATACTTTTGAGAATCTAGAACTTCAATAGGTAAGTGAATAGCATTCCCTTTAATTTATTTTTATTGGTGTTTTTATTTTTAATAAATTTTCGTTGAGATATTTTATTCTTGTGAGTTACATTAGTTTTGAAACTTTATGATATCGATGCGAGATGTTTAAAGGAGGATATATGCATTTATTTCCTCAGGGAATATGTTTCAAAGAGTTATGGAATTATTTGGTTTATTAAACTCTTAAAATCCTTGATTATTTAGATAATGCAAGCTCGTATATTATTTTATGAAAGACTATTTTCAACAGGTCTTAAATTGAAATTTCAAGTGATGCATGCGAGTTGGATATTGGAAATGTAGATTATATTTTAGAAATAATTATTTTTCTTGCATGTTTAAACATGATTTTTGAAAGGACTCTAAACAGAACACTGCTGCTAACGACAGTTTCGTTAGCCCGTAGCGCGCTGTGGTTAAATACTAGCTAGTTTGTTTCGTGAGTTTTATTCTCATGATTGGTATTCGTGGGCTTCATGCCCTCGTTTGATTCCATGGCTTGATCCGTGTTTGGTTACTTACCCTCGTAGGCTGTGTGTCCACGTTTGTTTCATAACTTTAACTGTATTTAGTTACTTACCCTTGTGGACTGATTTGTTGGTGTTTGTTTTCATGGCATAAGCCGCATTTGGTTATTTACCCTCATGAATTGTGTGTTCACATTTGTAACTTGTTCTATTGAGTTCTCAAAATTTTAAATGTTGATTAATATGTGTTTTTGAAATTTACCTGATTTTGACTAGTAATTTGTATCACTTTGAGTTATATGAGAGCAGATTGACTTCTTTTAGCATGATAACATAAATTGTTTTCAACTTATTCTTATTTTACAAATATGATTATGACTTACATGCTTATAAATTTTGGTGGAATTACTTTCAATTACCTGACACCATTATTAGAGATTTTAAATTTAAATTTTAAGAATTTTATCATGGGAATGCTATTCACTGGAAAAATTATTTGGCCTTAGATTGGTTAGATGATGCTGAGTCTACCAACGACCTCAAAAAGGGCAATAGTAGGTGGACATTTTGATTGGTATTGTTGCTTTAATATAAATATATAATTTGTATGTCTTTTTGATTTGAAAGAAAGAGTAGATGCTCCACATAGGTTGTTGATAAACCTTATTTTTGATCTGTATATTGGTTGCTAGTTGGAAGGAGCTACGCTCCTGACTTATATTGTTATCTGTAAAAAGAAATTTTTGTTATAGAATTTTTGGGAGATCCTAGTTACAGGGGAGGTTCTGCCAAAATTTCTACAAAAACGTCGACACTTTCTTATAATAATAAATTTAAAGTTATTTTAATTCTCATGTGATTCGATTGAATTTTGTTCTTTTCTTGTAAAATGGAATAAATATTCTTGGAGTCTCACAAGAATGTGAGAGTGGTCCACACCCGTGCCAGTCACCTTCTATTTTTGGGGCATGACAAATTTAGACACTCAGATAAAAGTGTAGCTTTTTAATAAAAACCATGTTCAAAGTTATCCAAATCTCATCCTAATAGTCACAAACTCATGAAAACACTTTAGACACGTCAAATAGGACCAGGAGTATCTGATAGAGTAGTGAAATGATAGAAAAATCCCATATATTAAAATTTAACCAATTGGGTCCCATTTTCCAAAATATACCTTTGACCCCAAAATTCACAAAAAAAAAACATACAAGGATAACCAAAAACCAATGCACACCATAAACACATATAAATATACATGCTAAACATTTTCACTTGATTTAGAGCCCTGTGGGGCCCACGTACCCATTCTCCCTATTCAAGGTAGATGTTTGCTCATAACACACAATCTGCAATGCAACCACTTTATATTTGTTTGTAGAAACACACATATTTATATAAATACCGACATAAATATTTGCTTGTCGTGGAAACTTGGTTTACATATAAATCCATCAAAGCTACACACCATAACCAAGTTTCCTAGTCATAAGTCTATAAGCAAACAAATATCATACCCAGGCATACAATCCACACATATTCACATATATGTATAATCACATCCTACTTGCTCAAAAGAAAGGGTTGTTGTTCTTTACAATCCATGAAAAAACCCTTAGCTTAGCTCTTTTCCCTATCTACTACTAAAACCTTTGCTTGGACCTATAATTATTAAAAAGAAACGGGTAAGACAATTGCAATCTCAATAACAAATCTTATTTCTTATTACAAAGGAAGCCATAGTCAAATAAATAAATAATAATTTAACATAACATATAATTTAGCCATTTAAAATGCTTGGATACATGACATATGCCAATGTAGCCTTTCTTGACTAACAAAGTGCCCTCGAAACTTTCAACTTGCAGGTAAATCTTATACCTGCTTGTACCTCTACAAGCATAGAATATAATCTAAGGCATAAACTAATCTACTAAATTGCCTGTGCCCGTTTGATATGAATCTTGAGAAGTCAAAACTAACTCCATCTAAGAGCCAACCTGACTTACTTAACATGTGAGGGCTACCTTAGCCTAGGCACTCATCGCCATATTTCTCTTGTTGGATTTCTTACCCCACTGAGAGGTGTCGAACACTCAATCCCCTTTTATGAATTGAGTCCTCAAATAAATAAGGTAACACTGAGTATTAACAGTAAGCCATAGAATATCACAAGTTCACAACTCCCCTTTAGTGAACTCCCACTGAGATTATGCCTCCAACCCTTTTTTTACTTTCCCTGAGTATTGAACCACT